TCTATATATCAAACTCAACATGTTTATTCAGGGACGGGGGCACCAGTGGCCCAGTCGTCTAAGGCGCCGCAATGCGCTGTTCCTAGGGCACGCCAAAAACCTATGATTGTGGGTTCGAATCCTGGATCGCCTCGATTATGTTCCTAGGTTTGTCAGCACCATACAGTGTTATTGGGTTTCTCCAAAGTGCTAAACTTCTAAGACCTGCATCACTTCGGGCTCATAACATATGAAGGTCGTGTCAATCAAACATGTACAGTTGCAGTTTCTTGACATTACTGAGATACCCTGTTCAAAGTGCCGCTAAACCCCTTACTACCTCACTCACTTACTTTAAAATTGTACGTATTGTTCAACATACACCTGTGTCATGCACAGTCTGAAATATCAATATTTGAGTTGATAAAGATTTAATTATAATATAAATATTAGGTTTAAGTATGCTCCAAAATAATGGTACCTGTTTTCCATATTCTTATTTATCATAGTGCAGTTTTATTGAAACACATAATTCAAACATACCTTATTTTCGTTAAGACTGTTGTGTACTGTGTTTAATTCGACTGGGAAGATTTACCAAAACGTAGACCGAGACCTAATCAAATTCAAATTTCAATTCATATTCTACCTGGAACTTGTTATATTCTATATTTATATTATGGTTAAATGTATGGTTATTTATATTCCACCTTTGAGATAATAGTTTGAAAGTGAAAGAAAATTGGACATGTGACTTTCCATTTGAAGACAATATTTGCTTAATCCGGCATCGAGCTTTCCTTGCCTCTGTCATTCACATGGAGTACATTTAGGGAATAGTCCCGATGGTGCATGTAAATAACATGCATGTAAAAGTACATGAAAATATAATTTTACAATATAGACATATATGTATAAATCAATCAAGCCATAATTCAGTAATGAAAGTGAAAGATAGATGAATAGTAATTTAATAAATGTTTAATAATCGATTTATTAATTCGATATCATTAGCTCTTTACTTCATATGTTGGAAGGGTATGTGTGCATTAAGGTCTAAAACAAATGACTTTCAAGAATGAAATGGATTTAAGTTTCTATAAAATCATAGTTTTTCAGAATTTACACAATACTCAATATGCCAACTTTTCTCACAGTGTTTCTTTGCCAAACTTTGACGCGAACATATAAAGAGAAATAGCTGTACGTGATACTTTCTGTTATTACAACAACATCAGCAACAACAACTACAACAACAGCAAGAAGAAAAAATTAATAATTCTGTATTGCCTCTCTGACAGGTGGTCTAAAGTTGGCATCGAACAATGAACCCGGCTATACTCTGGTTTCTTATGGTATTTTGGAAACAGCTTTGTCGCATGCACAGAAAACAGATCGATGAATGCTTCACAATTCATATGCATACAACTGGTGTAAGTTTACAGATATCAATATATCAATATGACCTTAAGGATGTTAATGTTCATAATTATTTCTGTGTGGGAACTATAAAGATCACTATTCATTATCCCGAACAATTTCAACAAAATAAAACACGGACGGGGGTTCTTGTCAAGTGAGAGATCACCATTTGACATCGTAGAGCACATATACAGCACTGGTATAAGTACTGCAGACACGACACGTGTTTTCTGAGCGTGTGGTTCATGTTGGATACTTAGCTGTGTCAGATAGTAAACTCTGAAATTATGCCTTGGTATGTTTTTTAATATCTTACATAACATTTGATAAATATAAAACGTCAACGTCAGAGAATAATCAGTCTCGAATTTCTGCCGAAACAAATTCCGTTGGGCGTAAAGAATGGCATTTAAAAACTAGAGCCTGTTATCGTTGAAGATTACATATTTGCATGTGAATATGGAAAATGCATATTTTAGGAGGTCCAGGAAAGAAATTGTCCAATTGCAAAAATGATGATATATTTCATATTTTCCTGATATGATAAACATCTTGACATCGTGTAGGGTAATATAATAAAGGATGCAATATTAATAATACTTATATTAATGTAGTTGGACGTTGTGGTTTGATATAACTCATAGAGCCCCTCCCGTTTTCCAAATACTTCCATACTCCACTCCCTCTTCCCCCTCCCGCTCCCCTCTCCCTCACTATAGCTCTCACCCCAGTCACATTCCTGCTCCCTTCCTCCATCCCCGCTCCCCTTTCCAGCACTCCATCTCTCACCCTACTCTCACCCACTAACCGCCTCCCATCCCCCATTCCCGCTAACCTGTCCCGCAATTCCCCACCCCACCCCCTACTACACAAGAAAATAATGCTAAATAAACAAATACATAATATAAGAATAAAATGAAAATAAATGAAATGCATAATAAATAAACAAAAACCTAAAAGAAAACCCACTCAAATACCCACTTCTTATTCCTACTCCCAACTCAGCACCCAACCCTAATTCCACCTTCCACCCTCAGTACCGCACCCATCAACCCTCTCATCCACTCCCCCACTTCCACTGCCACCACCTACAATCATGACAAATGACAAGCGACGGCTGCTCATTAGACGAAAATGAAAGCAATGATGATGTATTGACTGGTCAATGTTTAGCGCCACAAACGTATAATATGCACAGTAACAGGTTGAACTCATAACAAGTTCCTTTAACAAATAACCACGAGCTGATTGATGAAGCCTTAGGTTCCCATATGTCCGTGTGACATCTGCCGATCAATTCGATAGCTGAAGAGTAACCAAACCATATTTAAACTAAATAGTAAGATTTAGTACGAAGAAACAGATCGCAAGGACCAGCGGGTATGTAGCTTCAATTACTCACACGAGGAATGTATATATTCGGCGTATATGTTACGGCGCTCTCGGTATTTTAAACTTGATCACACAATTCTCTCTCTATTTTATAGAACATTTATTCAAAGCATTTTTAAAGTCCACTGCTGTTATGGAGACATAAATCCAAAATACATAAATATTTGAATACGGCAAGCAAAAATCTCAGGCGAAATATATGAGCAGCAAAGACGCGTAAGATTTTAAATGAAAGTAGTCATCTTTTTCATTCCGAATATCAGTTTCTAACTGCACACGCCGATGCTGAAAATAGACACGTCATGTATTTATTATTCTTCAGTTACTACATGTGTAATAGGTATCAGAAGGTATGTAACTTCAATTACTACATGTGTAATAGGTATCAGAAGGTATGTAACTTCAATTACTACATGTGTAATAGTTATCAGTAGGTATGCAACTTCAATTACCAAAAGTGTAATAGGTATCAGAAGGTATGAAACTTCAATTACTACATGTGTAATAGGTATCAGTAGGTATGTAACTTCAATTACCAAAAGTGTAATAGGTATCAGAAGGTATGTAACTTCAATTACTACACGTGTAACAGGTATCAGCAGGAATTCAACTTCAATTACTACAGTTGTCACAGATACCAACATATGTGTAGCTTCATTTACTACATGTGCAATATATACCGGAGTGTATGTGGCCTCCTTTAAAATATGTGTAATATATACAAGCAGGTATGTAGCTTTAGTTACTACAAATGTAGAAATACGAGTGGTTATGTAGCTTAAGATACTACAAGTATAATAGATACGCTCAGGTATTTAGCTCAGGTATCTGCTATATAGATATAGTACTACAGATACTACAGCTGTAATGATACATGTGTAATATTTACAAGCAGGCATGAAACCTCAGTTACCACGTCCGTAATAGATACAGAAGATATGTAGCTTCATTTACTACATGTGTAATATATACAAACAGGTATGAAACCTCAGTTACTACGGGTGCAATATATACAAGCAGGTATGTAGCTTCATTTACTACAGGTGTAATAGATACCAGTAGGTATGTAGCTTTAGTTTCTACGGGTGTAATATACACAAGGAGGTATGACACTTTAAAATATGTGTAATATATACAAGCAGGTATGTAGCTTTAGTTACTACAAGTGTATAAATACAGTGGTTATGTAGCTTAAGGTACTACAACTATAATAGATACGCTCAGGTATTTTGCTTCTGCTGCTATATAGCTATAGTACTACAGATACTACAGCTGTTATGATTCATGTGTAATATATACAAGCAGGCATGAAACCCCAGTTACTACGGATGTAATAGATACCAGCAGGTATGTAACTTCAGTTACTACGGGTGTAATAGATACCAGAAGATATGTAGCTTCATTTACTACAGGTATAACAGACACCGCCATACATGTTGCTTCTGTTACTGAAGATGTAATAGATGGAGCTTCAGGTACTACAGGTGTAAATCTGCAAGCATTTATGTAACTGAAGCATACCTAACCAAAATGTTCGAATCCCAGATTCGCCCAAATTAGGACCATTGTTGTGTCTGCACAATACACGTGCTCGTGAGTTCCACCGGAGTGGTAAATGCCCCGTCTGCAGCACTTCGGACTTTCCTCCCACATGCAACCGATAAGACGATATACCTGGAATACTGCGGCGTTATTCTGTTGAAATGCACCTTCCAGGAAAGTAAATATAAACATATAGTAACCTGTGATAACACGAGTAACCAAAAACACTGTACACGTGTCTAACAGTTTTGAACTTAGAGTATGTATATATTACACGTGGTTACATTTGGTAGCTCAACATGACATTTGCCGATCAAGTCGACACTTATTGAAACTATATAAGGATCAACAAGTAGGATTTCTAACGCATAAACACATGAACATCAATTACTGAGAGTGTAAAATATAACAGCATGTAATTACAACAGGTGTGATATATACCAGCAGTTACTACACGTGGAATAGATACCAGCATATACATGTATGTAGCTTCGGTTACTAATCTGTGACAAGGCCAGTAACAAAAGACACTGTACACATGCGTAACGGTTTTGAACGTTGTGTATGTATATACGAGGAAAAAGGCCAAATGTAAAATCAATTTACACGGAAAGTGGATTTGGATAGTAAATCATGTTAAAAGTTGCCCTGTCACCTTGTTACCAACAGTAAGCTGTAGCTTGTTCGTCGGCGGTTCTAACAACAGACGGGCAGCGGTCTCTTCCGTCCATACATCATGAGGTTGCTAACAATAAAGACCTTATCCATCGTGATGTTGGTGTGGGTCGCCGTGGTGATGTTGCTGTTGCGGCTTAATAGGACGGGTGCTACATCGAGGGCGGATACGTTGGCGGACACCGATTTGAAAACAAACATGGATCACTCCCTCGTACTCCCCTCTTTCGGCGTCGTAAACGTTATGGAAGAACACCATGAAGGTAGTAGACGATGTTGTAGGGATGAGGTGATGGTGTAGGGACGTGACTAGAGTAGACGATGTTGTAGTGATCAGGTGGTGACGTGGGGACGTGACTGAAGAGGAGGATGTTGTTAATGATTTTTAGGTGTTGTTTGGGACGTGACTGTAGGAGGCGATGTTGTAGTGATGAAGTGGTGGTGTGGGGACGTGACTAGAGCAGACGGTGTTGTAGTGAACAAGTGGTGGTGTGGGAAATTTACTGAAGGAGTTGATGATGTAGTGATCAGGTGGTTGTGTGGAGACGTGACTGTAGGAGGCGATGTTGCACTGATCAGGTGGGCGTGACTGCAGAGGACGATGTTGTAGTGATGAGGCGGTGGTGTGGGGACGTGACTAGAGTAGACGATGTTGTAGTGAACAAGTGGTGGTGTGAGGATGTGACTGTAGGAGACTGTGTTATAGTGATGAGATGGTGTACGGATGTGGTGGGGGCGTGACAGTAGCGGAATGTGTTTGTGTATGTTGCAGTACTGATGTACTGTGTGTATGTTGAAGTACTGATGTACTTTGTGTCTCTGTTACAGCCCTGATGTAAGTTATGTGTGTCTGATATACAGTTTGTGTCTAGCGTAGTACTGATGTTCTATGTGAGTTATGATGTACTGTGTGAGTATGTTGGAGCACTGATGTACTTTTTGTGTCTTTTGCAGCTTTGATGTACTGGTTCTCGGCCGCAGCTAGTGGGGCAATTAAGAAGCAAGGGAACGTTCTGGTAATCGAACCCTTTGTTATTCGAGCATAGTTAACTGTTGATTATTAAGCGCAATCGGCTTGATGGATGTAAACTTACTTTTTGTTACACGCATTAAAGTTGTGACCAACTCCATACTGATTATGATAGTAACATCATATTATTATTCTATATCCAGTAGGCAAAAGAATTTTGGGCGGTGTTCTTTTTAGAGGAAACAAATGACTGAAAATGTCGCTAAAGGTAGTGAGTGAATTTGGTTTAATGCCTCTTTGAACAGTATTTCAGTTATGTAGCGGCGTGTCCGCTTTATTTCGGAGACCAACCAGAAGGGCTTTCAAACGCTTAACACTTTTTTTAAACCAACGAGCACGGGTATGGCGCTGACAAACCTAGAAACATAACCAGGGCGAACTGGTATTCGAATCCAAGTCCACAGAAATTTGGGCGCCTTAGACGACTAGTAAATGGATAGCGAGGTCCCACTTGTAAGCGAATGACGTAGTCATAATTATAATTGCTACTCGGTACTGCGTGTATCTACAGATCTGACTCTCCTCGGCAGATTCACATAGACGGTCACTCAGACGCCGCCCAACCAGAGTATTGGAGGAAGATGCCTCTCTTTCGGTTACCTACCAACCAGAGGGAGGTGAAGCTAATGATGGAGAGGAACGACGTCTTTATTCAGGTAAATTACCCAAATTAGTCTCTTGTAGTGGTTGGGGTTTTAACCTGTAGTCAGTATTCCAGTGATATCACTGATCACGGACCGGACAAACCCGTGGATACAACCTGGATATTGATTGTTTGAATATACTTTCAGTCATGTTTCAATGCGTACATTTTTTCTCTACAAAGCCACAATACATTTATTCTGAAACGTTTTGTAATTCCTGAGTGCAAATTACTTTTTTTATTTTTGTTCAATAAAAACCCCACTTTCACAACAAACCCACCACCCCGCCCCAAAATATCAATGAATGAACGTCTTCGACATATTTCCAGGTCGCTGCTTCCACAGGGTTGATCAATCGTTTCATCTGGGTTTGGCCCCCGTATGACGCTGGAGGCTTCCTCCACGAAACGAACGCCCCCTACGTGTCTGTTCGACTGAGAATCGGCGTAATGTACAGACATGGGGAGAGTGATGGTGACAGATACATACTGGAACGCTGTGTTTGCGCAGAATCTGACCACTTCACGATAGACAACCCATGTGCCTGGATTGATGCAGATGTTGAAAATGATTCTGAGGATTATGTTGTCATACCTGAGTCTAGATGTATGGATATGTCCCTAAAGGGCACGTTGGAGTTCGTGAGTACAGACAAGGCTATAGAGCTAGCAAAATCAGGCAGATGGATCACGGCGAGTGACAGCGTCATCGTGGACATTGACGAGGACTACTACGCATGTGAAGCTGTGTCCGCTCCTCTGTACGATGCCGGGATGAGTAAGGCTCAAATCTATGACATATCATTCAGTGTAGGGAAGCTTATGTGTGTTGACAATGCTCACGATGAAATGCTGGCTGATAAATTCTTTCATGACATGTTAAAGATCACACTCACACATCTCAAGCTCTGCGGTAGCGGAAGAGCAAAAGATGACAGATCATGTTCTGACTCACTTTCTATGAGGAATTCAGTTATTGATAAACTCCACAATGTACTGGAAAAGGCTAGGCATGTTATGTGCCTGCCTAACGAATCTACCTATTTTATACTTGGTCGTCTACTCGACGACCTCCTTTACCTTGATGAGCGTAAGTTGGAGGAACTTATCACTGTTGGCGTGTGTATGAACCAGTCCCCAAGGAGTACAGGCTTCAACCGAAATGATGGCATGGTGATATGCCAGGGTTACAATGGGCCTAATACAACGCTCATCCCATACCACAGCGTTGACGAGAAGGAGATTGACAACACCACCAACCATCTCAAGACTATCCTCTCACAGTCATTCACTCCTGGTGTGGTGACTCTCATCCGTTCTGTACGGGATGGTTATACTCCGAGGAAACATTTCCACATTATTGAGCCTAAAATTCTCAATGTTTTGAAAACCACGTTCCCAGACCATATAAACGACCGTAGCATACACTATGACTCGGAGCTGCTTGGAGGAAAAGATGGGTGGTATTTGAGATACAAGAAAATTAAGTCTTAATTATATGTGTAAGTAAATATGCAAATAGTGCAGGACCTTACCCATTTACATGTCTATGTCTTTAGTTTTCGTCTTAAAAAAAGATTTTCCGTCACTGCTCCAAGAAAGTAGGAGCTTCCGGAAACAATTTCAAGTTAAATTTCCAGCGAACATTCGTTTTGTGTAAAACCTGAGGCAACATTTCTACTATTTACTGGAACAATTTATATATTTTTCCCAGTGTCAATGAATGTCAAATGGTCGGTCCCTAAGGCCTGTGGCCTATGTCAGATCTATAAGAGCAGTGTAAAGAACAATTTCTGAACCCAAACATCAATCCAGATCAAATGTATGGATTGATTTTCGAAGGTGCCTGGAAAAATATTTAATCTGCAATTGATTTAAATAAGCACATATATGTAGGCAGAGACCATATACTAGAGGGAATATGGTCTTTGATGTAGGCTACATAACCAAATAAAAAATGTTAGATTTAGAAAATAACTGACTGTCGTATTGTTTTGGTAAAGGAAAACCGTGATTGGATAATCAAGAAAATCAGTAAACCCATTGCAAGAATGTTTAGACGATGTTGTATGGGAGATTTGGAATGTTGTTCTCATAACACATATTACAATTGCATTATACTATTAACTAGGTTGATAAATCAATACAAATTACTGCAGAGCAATCACATTGGCAGTATGCAGTAGTGGTAGTACAAAATTCAAAGGCAGTATCAAATGCAATATTATCATCAATAACATTCATCTATCCACAACAGTGGTCAAGCTTCCACAATACATGCAATACACCCAAACAGCTCATGTCACACTCAAACAGCTCATGAAACACACTCAAACTCATGCAATACACACAAACAGTTCATGTCACACTCAAACAACTCATGGCATACACTTAAGCAGCTCAGGCTATACACGCAAACAAATCATGTCATACACTCAAACAGATGATGTCATACACTCAACCACATCATGTCATACACTCAAACAGGTCATGTCATGCACTCAAACAGATGATGTCATACACTCAACCACATCATGCCATACACTCAACCACATCATGTCATACACTCAAACAGGTCATGTCATGCACTCAAACAGATGATGTCATACACTCAACCACATCATGTCATACACTCAAACAGGTCATGTCATGCACTCAAATAGCTCATGCCACACACTCCAACGCATGCAATACTCTGAAACAACGCATTTCACACTCAAACAACACATGTCATACACTCAAATAAATAATTCAGGTGTTAAGTTCTGACTGTTGACATGATGGGGTGTGTTTTAAGAAGCTCGTGTAGACAATGAAACGTAACAGTTGCATGGTAAAGCTACCGTTACGTGCGAACATAGCGGGAGTGAACCAATGAAACTGTTGACGTCTAGGATTGCAGAACTTCCGGCTTCCCTTCCATATTAAGTTAAAACGTCGTGAAATAACTGAAATTTGTGATTGTCAAACACGACAGATAAGGCCGTTCTCTTTGTTTACTAAGAAGATCACTTCAATGACGGCTTCAGGCACTTTATTTCACAATCATGCTTAGAAACGAAAACAAATAATGCCGCTTAATTTTATATATTATTATTTCGATTTTGATATTTACATTCGCATTTGTTCAATATCGAAATATTTTAAGTTCATATATTAACTCCACTCTTCTGAACGATGGGTAAATACCCAACCAAGCTAACGTGGCATATACATGTAAACCGTATATATATATATATACAAAATTGCAAACCGGACAGAATCACAGTGTCAGGGAAGTAGTATTAAAATTCTCTTCCAGCAATTGTATTCTCTTTTTGTGACGTAATTGTACAGATTGAATAAACACTTGTGTAGGCACAGTGGCTATGTAATTACCTCGGGAACATACAGTGCCAGTATAATAAGATTGTTAATTCAAGTTTGTCGGAGCATGTTGCTGCTTCCTGATGAGATGGTGGTTTATAACAGGTACGTTACGATGTTGTTCGGTGTGTTTAACACGAATTCTACCATGCATTTTGAAAATACTCGACTCTGGTTAGTTCATAGGATATAAATGACAATAATCCCCTCTAATTGAAACAGCTGATTTGACCAACGCATCACCGCGGAAGTTTAAAAACATTCTCAGTCATTGTCTGTAGTCATTTGAAATGTTATAATTCTATGTGCAATTATTGATTTACCTCCTCACAATGAGGTCATAATAGTGACGTGCGATGGAGGATTGTTTACTGCACAACATTGTATATAATACAGAGCCGTCAATAGCGCAGCTGTCTTTAAGTAGTTCAACGAACGAACAATGTACAATAAGAAACTATTGGACATGTGTACGAGAACTTCAAAACAGGTTGTCAATAACCTAAATAGACTGAGACTGCCACGACACATCCACACGAACGGTATTACTAAGGTGAGTTTAAATATATCATTATTATTAATGTGACCGTTTTTACCTTATCTACAGCATATGACTATTTTATGGCATAGATTTATATGAACATAATACATGAATAAATCCAAAATACAACATTATTTATTCACACCAGGCAAAAGAGATTTGTATAAACTACATTGAACAACCTCACAGAAATAATGGTGTTACTACTAAGTCTTAATATCATGTATGTAGCATTCCCCGAAATATATAACTACCTTATCATATTCTCAGCATTCCTCGAAATATATCAGTACTTTATCTTATGTGTAGTATTCCCCGAAATATATAAGTACTTTATCTTAATTATGTGTAGCATTCCCCGAAATATATAAGTACTTTATCTTATGTGCAGCATTCCTCGAAATATCTAACTACTTTATCTTATGCTCAGATAGCTCTCTGTTTACATTCCAAGCTACATCCACTCCTCAACATAGTCAGAGGAGCAATGCATCCAAATAGGAATACGGCAAACCCAAGTCATTAAGAAATCAGGCTCAAATAGATACTGCACTGACATCAAACTGTCTACGGTCACCAGTATGGACATGGAACATAGAAGGTCTGCGAAGTAAATGAGATGATATTGGTTTACTTGACTATTGCTCCTTTAGGCTTTTACCACAAAATACTGTAGGCAACAGAATGGAGAGTAAGCATATACCTGTTATCTTTTATAAGCTAATGTAAAATGTAGAATGTATACCATGTCCTGTCAAGTATAGATGGAATACGTTGCATGTTGACACGTTTATAGCCAACATTATTGCCCTAAAAGATTTTGTAACAGACCATGTTATTGTTGTCGACAAAGATGTTAACGAAGTCTTAGATTATTTTTTTTTGTCGTAAAATACTTGAATCAGCAAAATGTATGAAAGAGAAAGTTCGTAATCCCAGAATGTTTGATTTTTCATGAGAGCTAAGAAGGAAGTCAAGAGTAGTTATCACACTTCAAAAATTGCAAGAGTTCTATTTGCAGAATATGATATTGTAAATTGAGAAACAAATACATGAGCGCCAAGTGAAAATTGGGCAAAAGTTATATGAAACTAGAACAAATGCAGCAGCTTTTCGAAAGAGTTATATAAGTATTTCACATACAAGGAAAGTTTCTAGTAATATCAAAGCGATATTTTCAGCTATATTTTTTAACAGCTTAAAAACTATTACTTTAGAAAAAGAAACTGAAACTGACAGACCTCTACAGATCAGTGAGATTGAAGGGCCTATATGAGAATCTTCCATATATATATAATAGTTAAAGAAAGAAATAAAGCTATTGCTCTCATAAATAAATGGAATATCTCCTGGAATTGATAATGTGCTCATTGAAGTGATTAAATCTTCGGAACCAATTATAATGCCCTTCCTACTTTCTTTGTTTAACAAGATATTTCACAGTGGATGTTTTTGGAACTTGTGGACAATTATTATTCCTTTGCATTAAAATGCGATATAAATAATCCCGATAATTGCAGAGGAACATCTTTACGTCAGTTCGTCAGGAAAAGAATATAATGTATATGAAATGGCATACTTTTAAAATGGATAGGTGTTATGAGAAAAGTTTCTGAAAATCAAACAGGTTTTCACGAAGGTTGTTTGACTGTTGATCATATTTTTACCTTATATATGCAATGATTGAAAAATGTCTATGTAAAAAGAAGGAGAAATTTATGCTGCATTTATTGATGTTACCAAAGGCTTTTGATTTTGCAATCGAGCACAGCTATGGAAATTGTTGTCTTCCTACATGTATGGCTAAAATGGTAAAATAAAAGTGTATACCGATCAGTTAAAGCATTTGTTGTATGCAATACAGATTTCACGGATTATTTTGATTGTCCATTTTGTTTAAGACAAGGGTGTATGCTAAGCCCTATGTTATTTTCACTATTTGCTACACATGTTGTTGAAATCGATATATGCATGAGAAACTTTCCTTATATGTAATAGAGGATGAATTTCACGTTGTACTTGAGTCGTTCCGGGTAATATCCGCCCATTTTCGGACGCCATGTAACACGCAATCTTTATGAGTATGAGGAAACACAATATTTGACATTAGCCAATGAAAGACGAGATACTTATTCAACATTACCGCTTGTCATAAAGCGTCATCTACAATAGCTACACAAGGGCATGTAATCCAGTTGGTCATGTAACAAGCAATGACGCTCCGTTTCTGCTAAATCCCCTCACCCTGGCGTGTATTTCCACTCATACCTGTAATAATAAATTGTGATTTGACGTCGTCACATGACAATCTGCCTAACAATTAAAATATGTGAATGGTTATACATGTACAACATTTTGGAGGTAATAAATAATTATTTTGAAAGTTCTTGTGTGGGAACCGTGTTTGTATTAGACTAGTAGATGTTCAACGATTTATTAATACAAAACTAGTGTACTAGTTACGTATGTAACCAATGATATCTCGATAAATCTGTTCTCGTTAACTTGTCTAATTTATGTAATGTGAAATAATTCGAAAGAAATGTTAATTAAAGAAAATTAAAGATGTTAAACCCTTACGTTGTAATAATGCGCGACAAATAATATTATTGATTATCCAAATTTCCCGACACCAAAGTTCTGTGCTGAATTGGCAATTATCAATATGATAGGAAGTTTTTGCAGTATCATTATATTGAATATCACATGAAAACTGGGGCGTTCGGGTAGCCTTGTGGTTAAAGCTTTCGCTCGTCACGCCGAAAACCCGGGTTCGCTTCCCGACATGGGTACAATGGATGAAGCCCATTTCTAGTTTACCCCGCAGTGATATTGATAAAATCAAACTCACTCACTCACATGAAAACTGCCTTGGTCAACGAAATAAATACAAACTCATTTATTAAAGTACCAAATAAATCCCAAAAAAATTAGCACAATTAATCTTACCATGGTTGAACAGATCAACGTAAACTTTATTTAGAGACATTGTATACACACATGACACGTGAAGAACTCTTCTTTTGTAACAAAGGGCATAAAATGTGCCTGGAGACACAGTCAGTTGGGGAAGTGAAGGGGACAGAATCCCAGGTGGCATAAAACTAGCAGCTGTTGGAATTTGAAGAATAATATTACCACCCTCATCAGTTGACGACGGAACTTCCCCAGAAAGTAGCCTTTAGGACAATGGGTAAATCGTCAGCAGTTACTACAGCCTTTTCATCTGAGGCTGATTGAATCTGAATATTTCCACCAACCCATCCTTCATTAGTTGAACTTACACGAGCTGCTGATTCGCACTGCTGACCAATGAGTGCTGTTTCGACGTCATCGGATGGTTCTAAGACAGGTTCACAGACAGACAGACATACAGACAATAGTTTATTAACGTCTCACTCCTGTACATACATAAAACAGCTTTGTACAACTTGACATAGATAAAATGTACAGAACTATTCAATAGAATTATGAGAGACGAATTATCACAGAATTTATACATAAATGATATAAAGATGATATAGTAAAATGTTATCCATATAAAAGATGTTTTCTACGATTAAGAATTAAAAAGCAGACTTTGGCAAGTATAAAACACACACTGGAGTCACTGAAAATTAAACAAAGTTTGTCGATATCAGGTATATCTAAAACATTATACGATTTAGCAATACATTCATTAAAAAGAGTTGCCCTGATATCATCATATAATACGCAGTGAAACAAAACATGGACCTCGTCTTCTACGCTGTCATTACAGTGAAAACATTTTCTGTTGTTGACAGGTACACCTTCGTATCGACCGGTTTCCACTCGAATAGGAGCCACGCCACATCTAAACTTGGCTAGTGCCGATCTATAGCTTCTGGGCATCTTATTTGAAACATAGTATTCTGTCCCATATACTTGTTTGTAACATCGATACATTCTCAATTTATTAAGCCCATTTGGCCCCTCTTCCTTTCTTAACATATCACTCCAACGGGTAACATATTCATTTTTACACCATTGTTCCACTTGTGTACAAACAGAAAATTTATCAATAAAACCTGTAGCGTTTAATAGATGTCCTAAATCCATTCACATGTCTTGTTAGAAATAGAGCTGGATCCAGAGACAACTAGTGTGCAGGGCCAATATATAGGCGTCTATCGGGATGGCATTTCTGCCTAAGTTACTGAGGGGTATATACAACATGTACGAAATCCACTCATGATATTTGAAGGCGCAAATGCTTTATCGTGTGCGTCTCGAAAGAGTTTTGGCCACTCCGATTTCGTCACCAGGTTATTGGGCGAATCAGCCACGACCTCGGTACACACCGACTGTACTGGCGGGAAGGGGGCCCAAACACAGATTTGTCCAGGGAGCAAAGCTATCGTGTGGTGTGAATGGGAGAAGGCCAAAAGTGTGATATTGCTTGGGGACTAGTTCAATAAGACCTAGTGTCTCGTGTGAGCAATGGGTCAACGGGCCAGCAGTTAAATCGACCCCTGTGCAAAATATTATCTGGCAATAGTGTTCGGATGGTCAAACGATATTGTATATTTCAATTAACTTAACTATCTTTCGCAAGGCAACACTAATCAATAACTTTGAGATAAATATATTTAGATTAATGAAAGAAATTATTATTTTATTTTCTATCGACATATATTGATTAATACTTTTCTTATTAAAGGTGACATCCATTAACGTTCAGATATATCAATGAGAGGTCCGTAGGAAGGAATTTAATATACAGTAAACTACGTTTATAACGAACACGCTTTTAACGAACTGACGGATATAACGAACATTTTTTGTCCCGGCCATTTGGTGTATATATGCTTATAACGAACTACGATTATATCGAACTAATATCAGTGGTCCCTTTGAGTATTCGTTATAACCGTAGTTTGTACATTGTATATCAATCGTTGGTGGGGTTGGGTGGAGGGATGGGGGAAGGGAAGAATGAATTTAATATGAGCTATTACTATACAACATTTCAAAATAGCTCATATGAAATT